GGAAAGAGTCCAGCTCCAAGCTGTGCATCAGGCCAATACTTGCAGCCAGGTGGAGACAGGACTGCTGGTCAGAAAGTCTAAGGAGAGATGTAGATAAAGGGGAGAGTCTGGCTTAATTGGGGGCGACCAATGCAGCGAGACTGCCAATGGTGTTCCTTGTGATGCAGGAGACCCCCAGGGACCGAGACACATGTTTCACAGGGGGTTCCTTGTTCATAATAAACAAAGATGGAACCCCCGCTAAAAACCTCAGAGAGCCCCAAACTTCTCAGCACAGGCTGTCCCTCCAGGAAGGCCCAGCACCCCTCTTGCCTCTCCCACTGACCTAGCCCTAAAAGAGCTGGAACCAGTGGCCTTCCTGGACTGGGAGGGCCATGGAAGATCCCTGTAGTGTTTGGCCTGCGCTCAGAGCAGTTTCTACCTGTGGGAGCTTTCTTGGGAAACAGGAATCACTCAGATGTTGCAAGACATGTAAACAAAGCTGGAAGCTTTGGGTTGGGAAGCTGATTTCTGGGAAGCCGAAGCAGCGGCATTTCACGGCCAAGGGATGTGTGTGGTCTGCCCAGTTGCCTGCTGAAGCTGCCCTAAGCTAGCATCCTTATAAGCAGACTGTGGGGCTGCTTATTTCACCAGGATGGGTGGAAGCTGGTTAAACAGCATTAAACTCTCAAGGAGGAGGAGATTGGGCACTGGGAACTGAAGCTGTCAGTGTAGTGGCTGTTCAGGATCCGGGAGAGCACAGAGAGTTCCCGAGGGGGCTCAGGGAGGTGGGGAGCAGGAGTGGGATCAGAGCAGAGAAATGCTCCAAAGCTGTTGCCCAGTGAGCTCCTTTCAACAGGTTACAGTAGATGGGCAACATCCAGTTATTCAGACCCTTCTTCCTCCGTTTTCCTTCTCCTCTGTAGAAAGAGCGGATCCGGGAGAAGTTTGTGGCAGCTCTGCAGAGGGAGTTTGCTGGCAAAGGCCTGCGCTTCTCTCGAGGTGAGCAGAGGGTGCTACCCCAACTTTGCGCTGGCCTCTTCTACTATGTGTCCCCTTAAATTCTGGGAAGGGGAACAAGGATCCTGGCTGTTCCCTCCAGGGGCTTGGTTGGAGCTGTGCTTCCCAGGGGAGCCCAGCAAGAGCACGGAGAGCTTCTGTTCCTGGGGAGCTATTCCGAGGGAGCCACATTCACAGCAGGGCAGTAGGCAGAGAACAAACTGTGCTGTAGATTCCCTTCCCAGGGAATCGGCCGTAGAGACGGGTTTCTGCCCCACGGTGTCTTCTGTGTCCTATTCTATTTTACTGTGCTGAGCCAGCCCGCGCAGGAAGGCTGCTTTGGCTCAAGCACGGGTGGCAGGGCAGCCAGCAGCGCTCCAGGCACATCCCGTGCTCTGCGCGGGCTCTAGGAATGCAGCGGTGTGAGCGAGGAGGAGCCTCACGCACTTGTCCGCTCCGGAGCTGCCAAGCGGCAGGGAGTCTGCGGCTCCCACGGCCTTTTCAGGGCCGCTTCTTGGGCTGGAGCTGCACTTTTGCAGCCAGCTTAGCGAGGGCAAGGAAGGGAAGGAGGTGCTGAGCTGTCCTGGCAACGTGGTGAGGACGGGGAGGAAAATGAGGTTATGTAAGTGGTGGGGCTGAATGTGGAAGAGGCTCTTGGAGGAGACGACAGGCATCTGTTAACATAAGGAGGTGCTGCATGGAAACCGAGCCAAAGGGCAAGCTGGTGCGCAGCTGGTGACACTCCACTCCTGGCCCTGGCCTCTATGGAGCACTTGGCCCTGTGGTCTTCTAAGAGCGTCCCCCATCCCAAGTGTTCCCTCCCCTCTCCCTTCGGTATCCTGCCAAGTGTGTCTTGTGCAGCCTGCAGCATTGACATGGGCTGTCAGAGCAGAGAGAGCCAAAGGGGTGTCAGCCGTGTCCCCAAGGGCAGGACAATGGGAAGATGAGGGGGAGCTGCAGGCTGCTCTGCAGAGGAAGCACAGGGGGGCTCAGGTCAGGCATCCAGAAACAAGCGTGTTCAGGGTTATTTCTCGCTCTGCTGTAGGCTCTGCCTGTGAGTCTGCACTGTCCCTGATCTCCTAGGGAACTCGCTCCATCAGCATCACAGAGCCTTGCCTGGATCACCCAGCCTCCTGATGATCTTCTGCCCTGAGCAGGCTCCTTCCCCCGTGCCTGGTGAACGGGCGGCAGGTTCAGGACTCCAACCCCTCTTCTGGCGGCAGAAGAGGGGTTGCCTTCAAATCTGTGTCCCACAGTGCGCTGAGCACCCAGTGGATGGGAATGTGCTGCATGGGCTTAGCGAACGCCCCAGCGGGGAGCAGGGGATAACATGGACTCACCTAGGGCCAGGGCCAGCTTCTCACCTGATTAGATTGTACTGTGCGTGTGGATGTTCACACGCGTACGTGCCCTCTGGGAAAGCTCCCACACCACCATACGTCCGCCCTCTCTGCCTTGACACCTCTCCCGCGGCCGGCAACACGCCAGCTTCGCTTTGGGTTGCAAAGCACCAGGAGCTCCCAGGTCAAGCAGCTTCAGAGCAGTCATTTTAGAGACATCAGTGATGTCTGCATGGGAGCCCGCTGGGGAGCCTGATGCCTGTGTCTCTCTGTGGACGTGGACACAGCGCCCGCTCCTGCTGCGGGTCTGGCACCGAGCACATCTACGCGGATCTGTGAGGCCTAATCCCCAAATCCGCACCCGACGGACCCGCGTCTCACGCCTCCCCCCCGTCGCCCCC